GAGAGAGAGAGAGAGAGCAAAATGTATAACATTCACGGATATATCGACTTTCCGCAATCTCTACCCGACCATTTTTCTATGAAACGTATTTCGAGAGCCGATGAAACGTGACGAACGTACCGACTACCGCGACGCCCGGTGTGGCTGTGGCCCGGTATTGCAAATTTTTATAGCGGCACATGTCGGCGGCATTTCGCGTTATCGCCGCTATTATCACACACGCCGTTTGTAATTAAATGCGGAGCGAATATAATTAAGTGATTTAAATATTCACGCGCACAATTATGATCCGACGCCGTCGCGCGTTAAGCGAATGTAATTGCGGCTTGTAAATATTTTAAATACAGCAATTTAATGCGATATAATGCTGGTGTTGTGGACGTCGGAGTTGGCCATTGGCCGCCATTGGTCGGCAAGCTTCCAAATGCAAAACGGAAGAAAACGTATAGTGACTTACCGAAGCGGCGAACGTAGCCTGGCTCGGTTGCGACGACGAGACGAGATCCGCTGCTTCTTGACATCTTAAAGAACGACCGTGACTTCTGGATCTCCCGTTATCGGCATCGACGTTTCCGGCAAATCCGACACTAAAATATATCAAATAGCATCAGTGTTATTAGCATTATTTATCACTCGAATAGATGCATACGCGCAAGCGGGGGCCGCGTATTTATAAATCAAATGTCCGCGTGCGGAAGCGCAGTAACGTCTCGCGCGCGCGAGAAACGTCAAAGCGGATTTATCGGCGGCACCGCTTCTGAATGCGATTGTTTCGCCGTCTCATCTCGTCTCTCGCCCGGCGCGACGGCGGTGTATACTCATCCTCATAGGCGCGCATAAAATATTCAAATTATTCAATAATTCTGGCGCTCGTTCTCCTTCCCTTCGCGCCGGTTTCTGCATCGAAATTCCAGTAATTTTCGAGACCTGCGAACCCCGCCGCCACAACCCCGATAATCTTTGAAAGGCGGCCCGGATTTTCGAAATGCGACCGATAGCATACGAACGAGAACCTCCATACGCGCGGCTGATGTGCCTAGCAGTTTCCGCGTCTTTTACTTATTTACGAAGAAAACGAGAGGGCGGAAGTCGTGCAGAGAGCGCAAAGATAAGAGAGAGAGAGAGAAAGGGAAAGAAAGAGACTGGAGAGAAGATAGCGGCATGCTGCTACGAATAAATGCAAGCTGTAGCCTTCGGATCGACGTGAGATACTCAAGAGAGATAGAGAGCGAGGTGCGAAGTTTTAACGACGTAAATGCCGTTAACGTCGGCGCGAACCCCTTTATAGCGTAACGCTTAACGCCGAGTTAATGCGCGCTTCTTCCGCCCCCCTCCCTCCCCCCGTCTTCCTGCCAATCCCTAATAGATTCCGAATAACGATACACATTTTCTCAATTATGCTGAATTACGGGCAACGAGCGCCGGTCGACGTGTCACTCGCTCGCGGTGCGGGGATCGAGCAATTTTGACAGCAGCGGAAACGTATTATCGCGAGCAATGAACTTTCACGCAACCGACGCGCGTGACACGGGACTGCGGGGGACAGAGGGAGCTTTTGGTTCGGAAATTAAATAACGTGCATGTTACATCAAGCCGCGTACACACGCCGGATTTCGCACACAAGTCGAGCGGATTACGGCTGCGGCTCGAAACCAAAAACATTTTGTGGACATCGCGCACCGGCCAACTTTATACACGTCCGTAGATTAACGTGGCGGATCGCAGATCAATCGCCGGCGATACGACTGCAATACATCAAAGCGACGAAATGCAGTATCGCGTCAATGGATCGTCCCACTTTCTAGAGATAATAAATTAACTGGCGCGCGAATTTACAGGAATAACAACCAGATAATTACTCATAACCAAGAATGAGTCATAAAGCGAGTGAATGGCGACAAAATCGTGTTAACGCTACTAACATTCAATGTTCAATCGATCATTCGAGCTCGACGAAACGAAGATTGTAAAACTGACAACTCGCGTTATATCGCGAGATATACAAAAATTTTTGTTCAATAATAATTCTGATATAATTTATAAAAGAGAGGATAATTATGATGTGGCAACTTCTTTCTTTTCAACGGATTTAAAATAAAAAGAAAGCAAGGTTCCGAAAGAATTTAACGAGCAATTTCGAAATAAGAAGAAAATTATGTATCTCGACGATGAAGTTGCGAGATGTACCTATATATACATACATATTATACATTGTCAAACTTTAAGATTCAACGAGCCGTATTGTGCTTGTTAATTGCAAAAGTCGCGGTACCTACGTATACATGTATCACACACTGTGTCCCGTGTGAGGGTTAACATGCCGGAAAATGTTAGACGGCCGCAATGCGGTCGGGACCACGCCATGTTATAGCGATCTGTCTTCCGCGACCCATCACGATGGCCACAATGCCGAATCTGCGCTCCGTAACCGACGAACGTTACTTTCGTCGCATCGCGGTAGGTAATGTATGCCGCTATTACACGACGCAGTTGTAACCGGCGCGGCAAGCGTGCGGCGGATTTGAGCCGTTTGTTACGAAAGTAAATCAAATTTAGGGAACACAATGCTCGGCATTCGTGCGCCTCGCTATTTAACACTAAACGCGGCCATCTGATGCCCGCGATTTATTCGTTCGATATGAAGATCGCATTCGATGTCGACCGCGGCCGCGGGAATGATACGGCCGCATTTACCTTTAAATGCGGGATGCGGATGCGGGCTAATGAATTTAATCCCTTCCGGTTCTGCGAGTCCAATTGATGTTACACGTATTATATGCGACGTATGTTAATTCATCCAATAGCAAAAACAATCGTGAACATATTTTGAATTTTCCCCCAATGTTTGCGAAGATTTGAATTACCGACATTATTGAAAGAAAAAGTTACAAAGCGTTCACGAGTAATGCAACATACGCAAGATTATGTCCTCAATTAAACCGCAATTTTATATTCGTTAATTAAACAAACGCAACTTTTATTCTTCTCACTATTTCATATATTGGTAATTGATTAATTTCGAATTTTTATATATGTATATTTTCCAATTTCGAAAAACGCGGAGCTTTTCCGGTTTTATCTGTTCAGCCGAAACACCGATTCGGCGAATGTCCGATGTTGAACACGAATTGATGCGGTCCATCTGCTTTAACAAAGTTTCCCCGATGTGATTTACGCGATTTTCAAAACGAACGGGCCGTTTATGACACGCATAATGATCGATTTCCGCGATTTGCCAGAACAAAGGGTCAACATTCGGCGGCAGTGGCAGCGGCGGCGGCGGCGGCGGCGTCAGCGGTAGAAATGATTTGGACGAAGGGAAATGTATTTACAGCGAATCAAGCATCCTATTTATTACGCAACTGCACCGACAATGGTGCCGAAATAAAGCACCGGTCCCCGGCTCCAGTCGGCCGGCCGGCTGGCTACAAAAACGCGGAAATTATGACGCCGTTCGTCCGTACGAAATGGACGCACTGCACGCTTGCTCACATATTTCTGTTTTGCGTAGTTCCCCGTGTATTTTATCGTAATAAAGGTTACGTGAGCGCGCACCGAGATGGAAAGCGTTGTTTAAGCTACATATTGTGGCGCGCGGTCTCCGTTGTCTTAAAAGAAAAAAATTGCTCGCAGACATAAAGGGGAAAAAATTGCACGGCACACATACCATCGACGTTGAGTTCCGTATAATAGGCGAATCGCATAAATCGCTTGATTTAAACGTTGACAGGCGTCTATATATTCGTAAATTATTGAGTCCGCGTGAATTCATGAACTTCATTCGTTAGTAGTTTGACAGTTTCGCAGATCTATTAAATCGACAGGTTGGGTTATGCATATATTGGCAAATTTATGAATCCTATATTATATTCAGATATATAAATACGCAGGATTAAAATTCTAATGACAATATTATTGCTAGAGAGACCAATTAGAGTTGTCCAAATTAATCGTTGTGATATTTAATACATCAATCCGAGATCTATATTCAGAAAGTTACTGAATCAGTATTTGAAGTTGAGTTAATTCTGGCTCAATATAATTCTCGATTTTATAAAACTACATTTATCGGGGCTTAGCTTAAAACACATCTATATCTACATATCGATTGTTTTAATTAATTGGAATGTATCAAAAATGTGCAACTTCTGTCTGAGCGAGAAGTTGCCCATTGCAGCAATATTTAACTTAAACTTGCATAGACTACACTCGACCCGACACTTCGTCGGGCATTGTTCGAATTTCTACGAGTACAAAAACTTGTAATGCAAGTTACTTCTCGCTCGCAAGTCCTGGCGCTAGTTATTCTTCTGTGTTTTATCAAAGCTGAGATTGGAAAGTTGCGAAAGGGTGAGGAAGAAAAAAGCGCGTGCTTGATAAGAATCTGAAACGGTTTTCGTGTAACGTACATCACGATGAAAGAGAAATAACAATAGCTTGGAAACATTCCCGAAGTAGCGTGTACGACGTGTGTAGCACTGCTCCGCAAACTCTTATATAATTTAAGCCGAGGCATTTGCACCGATGAGAAAAGCAACCGGAACGAGTGTCTGAAATCGTTGTGGAAGATGCAACTTTAACGCCGACGTTGCAATTTAGTCTAAATGGCATTTTGTCAAAATGTCGAGCGCTACGATTGTAAGCACATACTTGGCGATTCGCGAATTCATCCATTGGCGTCCATTGAATTCGTCGCGAGTGAATGCAGCTTACACAATGGCGCGATAATCGACCCATTCGAACGTAGCGAACGAAATCGAAAAAGATCGCGATGTGACCGCGATATGTTGAATCGGCGTAGGAAAGTACCGTACTCAATATTTCATATCGCGCCGGCATTATAAACACGTCGCACGTGTCACGGAGCGGAAGGCAAATAAATTGGAAAGGATGGCACACGCCGAGATTTCCTCCCGGTCTTCGTGCGATTCGGCCGCTATCTTAAATATTTTTATCCTCGTAAAACACGATACGCCACCGCAGCGTGATCGATAGCTACCGCCGAAAACGACGAGAGGAGTGAAGAGGGCTATACATCTTACTCCGTAACGACGTATCCGATACTTTCCTGGCCGTTGGATTAAAAAGCTCCGCGGTGCACTTGGCGCATATTTCAATCGGGGGCGAGGGGGCGCGCAACAACAACGTCAAAACTTGGCGTAAGCCGCGCCGAGCGAGCCGAGCTTTTTTCCTTTAACCCCTTCGAGCGCCCTCAGCGACGTCGACAAGCGTTTACGACAGCGAGATCTATGCGATAAAAGCGGGATAACGCGTTTTAAAAATGCCCCCGGATAAGCTAAGTACAATTATCGGCCGGCGCGCGGCTATTCATCACCGTCGCGGAATTTATGAGTTTTTAATTACGTGTATACGTTGATTCATCAAGCGGGAATGATGCATCTTCCCGCTTTGTAAATTGGTTTTCGAAAAATAAGCCGCAATTATTATCTACACGCGTTTCGAGTTTTCGTTATAAAAGCGGAAAAGAATTTTAATTGCGCATCGTTATTCACTTGATCGATAATCACAATCATTTTTATCGCAGCCGAACTATGGGAATTCGATATACAAGCTGCTTTTTCGAAGG